ATGATTAAATAGATAATATTTTATTACTGTATTAAGGAATTTTTTTTTTAATTATCATTGCCTGTTCTCAGTAGAGTACTTGTCAAATTTTACTTAATCCATTGCAAATAATATTAGAAGATACTAAGTTTATATCAGTTCAGTCTTTTATAACATAGTTTACTCATCCTGTCTTGTATGCAGTTAAAGAACTTACTGTGTCTGCTGGAAATAACATACAAGTGATGTTACCCAAAAACGAGGTTGAACTGAATGCCTTTGCTGTCCCACCACCATCTACAGGTGAGTTCAATGCCTTGGTACACAAGGAGATGCACACACTATCAACTTGTAAATGCAGACAAGTTCTGAGTTATGTGAACTTGTCTATCCACCACTTGGGATACAACAGTTTTTTTCACTTACAATACTGCCTCTTTTGTGGCTGTAACTGCAGAAAGGATTTTGTTCATTGGATTTTTAAAGAGGATTTTTTTTTAAGTGGCTTTTACTTTCAGAACCTGAACTCATTAGCCAGATGGTTCAATAGAAACTGTAATTTTTGACAAAAGATGATGTGGCCTAGTTTTTAGCATCTTGCTGTAAAGCTCAGGGAAGGCAGGAAAGTAGATTTTGAATGCAGCATTTGCCTTAAAACTGCCATCTTTTGAATTGCAGCAGCAAGTAAAATATATTTCATAAGTAGCTATGTAAAGTATGTTGGCTTCACATGAAACTGGTTTTTGTGAAGAAGTCTATTATTTGTGAAGTCCATTACATCCTTGCTGCTTTACCAAGTTGCAACACACTGGGAGTTTAACATGTGGTCATACTGCTTAATTTTACAGGCTTAAGCAGCAGCAGTCCTGATTTCATACTGTAGCATTTTATCTGATGAGTGGTGATCTTGAGTTCTTTGTTTTCTGGGCTTATCTTGAACACAAAACTGATTGTTCTTATGCTGTGTTATTGCTCTTAGAAACAGCCTACACCTATGAGTGGAGCTTAATCAGTCACCCTGCTGACTATAGTGGGGAAATGGAGCACAGGCACAGCCAGACTTTGAAGCTCTCTCATGTAAGTGAGCTGTAAGCTCAGACTCATTATGTTTGTGTGGTCCTTTCACAGAATTTTAACCTGTGGGGAAGGGCACCTAGATTCAAGGAGTTTAAATGGCTTCAAGCCATCCTGAGTCTCTTCACTTGTTTGTGTCACCAAATTTATGCCAGTATCTTAGAGTGCTCTAATAATTTTCTAAGATAGAGTAAAAATTCCTCAGTGTTTGCTTCATATGCCCCATTTCCAGGCAGTGACTAGTGGTCTTTTATGCTTGTGTTTATAAAAGTAGTTTGAGGATTCAAACATCCAGATTTATTCTTTTGTGATATGATTGTCAGGTTTAAGCATACTTCTTTTGTATAATTCAACATGTAACCCTATTTGTTCTGTGTTTGTCTCAGTTGTCAGTGGGACTTTATGCCTTCAAAGTGACGGTTTCTGGTGAAAATGCCTTTGGTGAAGGTTTTGTAAATGTCACGGTCAAACCAGGTAAATCAGTTGACTGATACAATTAATTTCTTCGACACATGTACAGCATACTTACAGTCTCTGTTTGTCAAGGACGTCTGGCAGTCTAGTCATGCTAACATGTTTCATATCTGGGTGTCTCTAAGGGGTTTTAAGGAAATAGAGCTAGAGTCTTTCTCACTGTATTTAAGTGCTCTCTAGTCTTTCCCTCTCCTCAGGCAAAGCCTGAGGTATCATCATGCCGCCTCTCCTGGTCCTGTTCTCCAGCTAGGGACAGCAATCATGTGCTGATCCAGCTCTATCTGCAGGTTACAGTGCACAGCTCTGATCTGAATTACACCACCTAGGAGGACTGCAGCGGAACGCTGCTGTGACAGCACACTGCTCATCAGTAACCTCTTCTTTGCCTTGTCCAAAAAGGACAGCAGATGCTGCAAAGCTGTGTATCCTAGATTTAATCACTGGGGTCTGTTGATCTGTGGACTTTACATTAGTTTTGCCTGCACTTGCACTAATATTTTTTTTCTTCCCTTGTTTTCTTCCCCTCTGTCTTTCTCACAGCAGTCAGAATTAACCAGCCACCTGTTGCTGTTGCTTCACCCAAAGTGCAAGAAGTTTCCTTACCTACAACTTCTACCTTCATTGATGGCAGTCGTATGTACTGGACCATCCTGTGCTTATAATCCTATATTTTTAATGAACCGTTACAATGTTATTGTTTGTCAATTACTAGTGAAATTTCTTATTGTTCTCAGAAGTCCCCTGAATAATGGTTTATTTTGGGAGTATTTTTTCATTTATAAATTATTTAAATAAATTAAAAAATTATGAAACACAACCTTGCACTTGGAGATTGAGATGAAGTGTGTCAGACTGCAGCATCCAGTTAGCATCCACTCTTACAGCTCCTGTCCTGTCCTGCCTGAAGATTCTCTGTGCCAGTAGAGCTGGGGCCGTAGTAGAGAGTTGTCAGATAGGGTGTGATGAGGTGTTGTAATTACATTCATAATTATTGAGTACAGACAAGTCAGAATGTAGAGAGTCTGAGACTGATACATATTTTATTTTAAAATTCATGTGTGTGAAGAATTGTTAAGATAAATCATACCAAAGATAACTTGGTATGACTCTGTGGTTCATTGAGCTTATTCAACTATACTTGTAGAGACAATTCTAGAAAACCAGTTATGGATGAGCATATGAACGAATTAAGTATTCATTCCAGCAATTGCTACAAGAAATTGATGTGTTTTCCTTTAATGAATGTAGAAAGTATAGATGATGTGAAGATAGTGAGCTACCACTGGGAGGAAATTAAAGGTCCCCTGCGAGAGCAGAAGGCATCTGCTGACACACCTGTCTTGCACTTGTCTAACCTTGTTCCTGGAAACTACACCTTCAGGTACCTGCATGATGATTTTCTTGGGGGCTTATCTGTGATACCAGCTAAATGTTTGGTTTTTTCAGTGTTCACGTATATTTCCTCAAATAAAAAACTTATTTTTTCTTCTTCATACTCTTCATATTGCACAGTGGAGAAACATAAGGAGTGGTTTTATTAAAAAATGCTTTCAGTGATCCTTTATAACACTAAATTACAGAAAATAAGGTATTGTAAATTAAATATGTCCCCACTTCCAGCAATAACAACTGTGACAGACTATTTTTTTTTTTGCAGCTTAGAAGTTGTCTAGTGCACTGAGTGAAGCTATGAGTCAGGCTGTGAAAGTCATCCTCTGAGGGGTGGTGGCAGACAGAATAATATTGACAGACTGATCCTCACAAGACATTATCATGTACTGATTTTACTGAGAGTCATTCTGTTCTATATAAGAGCATTTGCCTTGCTACTGATTTCCTCCCTTTATGCATTGCTGAAGCTGGGGGTTGCCCAGACAGTGAAAGCAATGTTTGTGGTTCAAGGTGATTTAGTGAAAATCAGTCCTTTTCCTAAATGGTTTAACTTAAAACCCAGTCTATACAGAGGCAGACTCCCCACTGGCCCAGCTTGGGTTCTTTGGCTGCCAGTGGGCTGCCTATCAGTCAATATATTATGAATCAGTGTAGCATCAGCAGATTGTTGAACACAGCATACATATCCATTAGCTGTGGTCCTTCACATAAGTTGCATCAAATTTTTACAGCTTCTACTTTAATTCTGTATTTTTTACTGGAATTATTCCATATTGGACAGTAGCAGAAATGAGTGTCAAATTTTTTTCCACGTTAAAAAGGGCAGTGTGTTGCTCACAAGCAATGCTTTTATGTGTGTTCCAAACCCTAGGGAATTCAGAAGTCAGTTCAGAAGTCACCCTTTGGGGGAGGGTGGTTTACCTGAGCAATAGAGCAGTGTCTTGAAGATTACAAGAAATTGTCTGGTCAAAAAAATCCAGTGTCCTTGATACACTTCCGAGTGTATCCAATTCCATCCAAGTGTATCTATTCCAATGGATGTGCACGAATTGGAAAACATATGTGTTCCCTAACATCTGAGGTAATGAGCACTACTTTTGCTCCTGCTGAGGTTCCCTTCTGTGTGGTCAGCTGTATGCAGTTTTCATAACAGAGGTGGATTAGAGATTAGTTGGTCACCACACTGCAATTGGGAAGCTTTAATCCCTTTGAAGTGCCTGCAGTAGTCTCATTTTAAGATGAGGTGTTTTAAAACCCTGTACATTTTTAGTTTTGTAACTTGACATTGATATTAAACTCCATGAAAATTAATAATGGTGTGCCACAAAGAAATAAGAAGAGAATCTGCTGCTGTGTTCTATAAGCAGAGCTTCTGAGCATCCAGAGTAGTTTTAGGTGTTTCACTATAGGTGATAAATAAAATCCCTGTTTATTACAGAATAAATTTTTAAAAGAGTTTGTAGTGAATGGTGAAGTTGACATTGACAGCAGGGAAAGGGTTTAATCTGGGATCCAGAATAACTAGGCTTTTTTTGGTTTTTCTTAAAGATTGAAAGTTGTGTCTGTAAAGTTTTCTGAATTTCTTTCCTACCTTAGTTGAGGGATATGTATGTCTGAAGCAGAAATTCATATAATCAGTGTTTTTTGTTTAGGTGATGTTTGAAAAAGTGCCAGAAAAAGATTACTATTTCAATTTAGAAGTTGGCAGAACTTCACCTGAAGAGATACTGTTTTTCCTGTTGTAGACTTACCGTGATTGATTCAGATGGAGCAGCCAACTCCACCATTGCATTTCTGACTGTCAACAAGCCAGTGGATTACCCACCTATTGCTAATGCAGGACCGAATCAGGCAGTCACTTTGCCCCAGAACTTCATCACACTGAATGGAAACCAGAGCAGTGATGACCATGAAATTGTCAGCTATGAGTGGTCGCTCAGTCCCAAAAGCAAAGGCAAGGTTGTAGCAATGCAGGTATGCGTATTTCACCTAGCACAGGATTTAAAATCTCTTTTATCTTTGCCTCTAACATGAGCAGACACATATCTAAGTGACTGCTCAGAAGCACTGAAATATCTAGAGTGATGTTATTCTTTTTTTGTTTTTCTCTCACATGTGTTCAGCTCTTATTTTAGATACTACTTTTAATTCCTTTTCACATTTTTTTTTATTTTTTGGGGCCAAACAAACTTGCCTGTTCCCCGGTGGTTTGGAAAGACTTAAAGTTCACATTGTCTGTCCTGAACCCTAGAGGCTGTTTCACAGGCTCCCATCATCTGAGGCTCTGGGCAGGCTGAAGACTTTATAGGAGAATGTAGGGAGAGTCAGAATTTTCTTGAAATACTTTCTCCTGGAGAGAGTAGAACTCAAATAGAAACTTAATTTTCTGAGAGAAAGATGGCAAGATCTTTTGGCAGTGTTTATGCCACGCTCTGTGGTGGATTTTTATGCTCACTAAAACATGCATTTCCAGCGAGAGCTTACAGAATTTATTCTCTTATTTTCATGACAGTTTGTGTTGTTGTTGTTTTGGATTTTTTTTTTAATCTGAGAAGCTAATAAATATTTTCAGTAGACTTGCATTCAGTAAGTTGGAGATTCTTACAGCTCTGTAGTCGGTTGAGATAATTAATGTAATGAATCCAGCTGAAACTCAGGAGCCATATTTTATGAGTCTTGATTTCTACCATGTTGGCAAATGCTTTAGACGTTCAGAACTGAAAAGAGATCTATTTAGGAAAGAATAATATTATTAATGCAAGACTACACTGTAGAGGAAAGTAAAAATGATGAAAGGATTTATAGCATTGTGACTTTCTCTGAATGTGATCATTCACCATGACAAAAACTTTCCAAAAGCACCCAAGCAAACTGAACTTGTAATTTTTGAGAGCTGTTCAATCTTAAAGCAACCTTTCTGAAGGAAGGGAACAACGGCTCCAAATATCCACTGGATTCACTGGGTATTTAATGTGGAAATGCAAGTGCATGTTACAGTTTCTTTTCAACAGACTAGTAATCTTTTAAATGCAAGTGCATGTTACAGTTTCTTTTCAACAGACTAGTAATCTTTTTCATGTGCCTGAAGCTGGGGGCCATAGAATCATTGAATGGTTTGGGTTGAAATGAAGATCATCTCGTTTCAAAACCTTGCCATGGGCAGGGATGTCACTCACTAGACCAGACTGTTCAGGACCCCATCCAATTTGGCCTTAAACAATTCCAGTGATGGAGTAGCCACAGCTTCTCTGGGCAACCTGTGCCAGTGCTTCACCACCTTCTGAGTAAATAATTCCTTCTAATATCTAATGTAAGCCTGCCCTCTTTCACTTTGAAACTATTCCCTCTTGTCTTGTCATTATCATTAAAAGTCCCTCTCCCTCATTTTATAAGCCTCCTTTAGGTACTGGAAGACTGCAATGAGGTCTCCCTAGAGCCTTCTTTTCTCCAGGCTGAACAACCCCAACTTTCTCAGCCTTCTTATGGAGTGGTGCTCCAGTCCTCTGACCCATCTCCATAACCCTTCTTTGTAACACTCCAGAGGATTGCTGGTCTTTGGTGTATTATATGATGTCCACTGTTAGAGTGCAGTGCAAGAAGTACTTCTGCTGGCTAGTTAATTGTTTATCAAGTCTCTATGTTTTTATTGTCATCTTTATTCAAAAAAAGAAAAAAAAAAAAAAGCCAAACCTATTTGCATTATGATTTGGTATTCCTCAAATGAGAGATGCCACAAATGTTCACTTTGTTACCAAAAGGACCTATAGCTGGGCCCAGTCATTTTATGAGCTTCTATAGGTATCAGTAAATGCTGCTGGAAGAGTAAACTCCTGACAGAGTTTTCTTGTTTAATATGGGGGTTTTTTTCCATAACCCTATTTGTCTGGTTTCAAGTCAAGATTGGTCTTGTATTTAGCAGTTTTTATAAGTACTAAATGATGTCATGGTGCTTGTTTTGAAAGTATCCCTAAGGAAATGGAATAAGCTGTAGGAATTTCCATCAGTGTTTAATTTCCTGTTTGAAAATGGTAGTGTTCCATGTATTTCACAATTATTGTTCTGTAGAAATGGTGCAGTGGTTATACCGACAGAAGAAGTTAGGATTTATTGCCTGTTTCTCCGGGTTGGTAGGAACAGTTGCAATAGTGAGCACATTACTTCTGTGCATCAAATCTTTATCTGCAAAGGTGCATTAACTCCTTGCTCAAACACTGTATTTATGACTTTAAGACTTTATTTTTCCTTGCATTTTCTGTGTAAGACCTTTCATTACTCACAACTGTTTTGTCTTGTGCTCTGTCCTTACCGATGCTGCGAAGGGAGTGCGGACGCCATACCTGCAGCTCTCTGCAATGCAGGAAGGAGATTACACATTCCAGCTGACTGTGACAGACTCTGCACGGCAGCGCTCCACAGCCGAGGTCACACTGATTGTGCAGCCTGGTAAGTCAGTGCAGGCACGGCTGGGTCCCTCAGGGCTGGCCCAGCCTGGGGCCTTGGAGCCATTCTCCAACTCCCCCTCTCCTTGCATTGCACCACTGATACGGCAGCCCCCATGCCTCGTACCCCTGGATCAAGGACTTGTCCACCTCCATTTTCTGTCAAAGCAGGCAGTTAAGTGTGGAATCAAACAAAATCCAGGTGGTGATCCTGAGGGTTCACACCAGCCTGGTTATGTAAGGCAACAGTGGTCTGTTTGAACGTGCTTCTGAAACCCAAATTGCAGCTCTTGAGTTTAATGTCCTACAAAGTCTATTTTGAAAGCTGCTCAGAGTATCAATCAGTGCTTAGCTCAGTTTTCTTATTGTTTTGCAATTCTCCTGCAAGAGTCCTTGTGTGATTTGAATTCACTCAAACAAATTGTGTTGTGTTTCCTAGGAAAAAGTGTCAACCAGGGACTTTTCAAAAACTGCATCTTTCACATGTTTATTTAGGCTTGGGAGCCAAATGATTTGGGCCTTGTGTGGTTTTTGTTGTTTTTTTTTTTTTTTTCCACCATGGGGAAATGTTTTATCTTCCTGTTGCAGCTTAATATACATCATTTGTAGATGATCCCTTCTGGGGCATTTTCACAGCAGTCATTCACTGCAGAAATCAAGAACATAAATTGGAAGTGTGGTGTGTGGTGGTGCCTTTTAGACCCATTATAGTGTGGAGTTAGAGAGATGTTATTGCTGAAGTCAGGCCCAAGAGCAGATAAATACCCAGGAAAATGGTAGTGTTGCCAGTTTTACCGTGTCACAAAAGAAGAGGGTGAGGACAGTAACAGGTTATGTTTCTGCACTAAATTCTCAAAGGCTCTGAACTGGCATTAACGTAGTGGCTTTGACCAGCAGACAAAAGGGCTGAGGGCAAAGAATTATATTTGTGTGGGAGGTTTTGAAAGGGATGGAACCAGGAGAATACCCCACCACTCATGTTTTGTGACATTCATATAATGCATTGAGCATGCAGCAAGATTTTTGGGAGTGTGTGCCTTTAGATAGGCCAATGAAGAAGGGAAGGACTTGCTGGGATTTGGGATCCCACTTGCTGTGGAATTTGGCTTGCTGCAGAGCTGACCTCTCCCACTTGCTGGCTTGGGCATGCCATACTTGTGGTTTGTACCTTTTGAGCCAATATATCAAAATTTTATTAAAATACCCTGTGTAAAATCTGATTGAAAGCCTTGCCAGTTGCTACCTAGAAAATTTCATACACTAAATACTAATTTTGCAGAAAATAACAGTCCTCCAGTAGCAGTGGCTGGCCCTGACAAAGAATTGACCTTCCCAGTAGAAAGTACTACACTGGATGGAAGCAAAAGCCGAGATGACCAAGGCATTGTCTTCTATCACTGGGAAAATATCAGGTATCCAAAGATTTTACTAATCCTCAGTAAAATAGAGAACAAAGTGGAAGTGAATTGATCTATAGCCTCTTATCCAATCATGTTGAATGATGAATCATGAATTATGTTTGAGAATTGCTTTCAGGACAATCCCACTCGGGTAGTAATCGCATAAGAAATAGCAATTTTAAGTTGAACTTGAAAAACTCAGGCAGTCTCTGCCTATGTTTTGCAATGTTTCATTTTGAGGCCTACTTTTATAAAATTCAGAGAAAATGTCAGGAACCTCTGTGTCTTCTGTTAAAAAGCAAGTAGCAGGCTTGGGTTGTATCCATTCTGTAATATACAAAGTTTTTCCATTTGTGCTTAGAACTAGGTTTTCTCAGTCACTTGTTTGTTGAACAGTAAAGTGTCAGTCACTTTGCCCTGAACTTCCAGTAATGGGTGACTAAATCACTCTTGAATGATGATTGAAAATGTTTTACAAAAGCTTATAATTGTATGTTTATGTGCAAACCTAACTGATCCTTAATAAAAGGGCAAGGTATTTTAGCTCATGCAGCTGTCGTACTTGGTACAGGAAGAGGTCTGCTGGCAGCCTGTACAGGTTGTGAGTGGCTCTTAGAGCAATATAATTTGTATGAAATAGCTATTAGTTATAGCTCTATTTTCATGCTCTCATGAAATAGAACCATGGTGAGGTTGAACTTCTGGGGGGTATTTTCTACTCTGGGTGCTTTGAATGTCTTGGAAAAAGGCATTAATGAATCCTCTAAACTAAACTAATGTCTCAGACAGTTCTTTAGCCATCAGTGCTTATAGCAGTAGTAGAACTACAACACATAAAATAAAAAGGCCTGGGTCATGCTGCTGAACTCACATTTTGGCTGGCTGGGCGCGATAACTTTTGTGAGATGTTTTGTTTCAGTGGGCCAAGCTCTGTACAGATGGAAAACGATGACAAGGCAATAGCAACTGTGACTGGTCTCCAGGTTGGTACCTATCACTTCAGGCTGACTGTCAAAGACCAGCAGGGCTTGAGCAGTGCATCTGTGCTCTCCATTACTGTGAAGGAAGGTAAGCCTGGCTGCTGCTTCTTAGGGCATGGTGGGCAACTGGGTGGTTTATTCATTTAACTGGACAGAATATTGAAGAAAATCAGAACAGAAAAATGTAATGTATTTGTGGTTATATATCAAATGTGTTTAAGAAAACTGCTCTTTTGTAGTAAAGTAGTATTGTGAGTGACTGACAGAATTAATTTCATTTGATGCAAACAGTTTTAATGTCCAAAACATGGTCCAAAATAATATTTTTGACAATTGTATGTCTACATCATTAAGAATTGTTTCTATTTTAACGTTTGAAATTAAGCTTTGGGCAGAAAAGAAGATTTACTGTGGATTTTAAAGTAGCATCCAAGAAGTGACACCTCAGTGAACCAAGTTCCACTTAAAAATTTAGTATTAAAAGACTTGGGTTGTTTGTTTGTTTTTTTTTGTTTTTTCTTATTTAGGTAGTGTGTTGTTTGGGTTTTATTTTTTTAATTATACAGAGAAACAGTTGCTGTAATGTGGGGTATTTTAGGTTTTTTGGGATTTTTCCCAACGTGCATGCTGTAGAAGAGGCTTTGGGATAATCATTGTATCATAGAATGGTTTGGGTTTGAAAGGACCTTGAAAATCGTCTTGTGCTGGGACATCTTCCACTAGACCAGGTAGCTCAAAACCCCATCCAGTCTGGCCTTAGACACTTGCAGGGATGTGTTGACTTCAGCAAGTCCAGGATGTAGTTGGATTTCTGGACTGCAAGTGCACATTGCTGGGTTGTGCTCAGCTTCTTGTCAGTCTGTTGACTGACACCCCACATCCTTCTCTTCAAGGCTTAGTGGCATTATCCTGACTTCTCCCAGTCTAGTCTCTGCCCAGCTTGTACTTGGGATTGCTCTGACCCACATGCATCTTGGAAAAGAAGCTGGACTTTGTTTTACTCATGTGCATCATTGCTTGAACAGTTTTAGGGTTTCAGTTAGTGTTCAGTTAGAAATACATGGCAACAGCTCTGCCCAAATGTCCATGGTCTTGTTTTGCTGTGAAGTGTAGCCGCAGTACTGTCTAAAGTTGCAGGTTTGCTAAAATACTAATACTGAAAATACTCAGTTTTCCAATAACCAAGTTTAGTCTGGTTTTACTTGGAAGACAACCCTATGCTGTTACAGCCAACTCCCTTGAGATCTACCCAGGACTGAATTATTTATGTCCAACTATTTGTGTCCAGTGAGGTATTTCACTCAGCCCCACAGCTTCCTTGAGCCCTGACTTACTAGTTCTGAAAAAAATCAGTGATGTCTGGTTTCTGGAAAGAGAACATGTTCATATTTCTTTGGCTTTTTTTCACCATACACCCAATACATGCCTTAGTTTCACTGCTAGTAGTGAGCAAAAAACATTTGGGAATTAGACTTACTCTTAAGTTTCCTGACTGCATTTTGCCTAAGTATAGGCATTTTGAAGATACGAGATCTTGCATAAGCTTCTATTGGGTAATAAGCAATTTTCCAGATGAAGAGGACTCAGCACGGTGATCTCACACTGGGCTATGTTTCTAAGTAGGCAGAAAATCTTTTTGCTTGACTGAGAAGATCTGATGCTTAAGTTATTGTAAGACTGTAAATAGAATATCCCACAATGCTTTTTGAAAAAGGTCTTTCTCCTCGACTGCAATATGCTCAGAGCCAGATTTTGTATACCCACTCATCCCTTCCCTGGGGCTTTGACATGAGGTTCTGTTGTTATTGTCTCTAATCATCAGGTAAAGAATTGTAGTGTGGGTGTATTGGCAAAGGCATGTCACATGTTTTGAAAGCAAATCCTTCTCTGCTATTTTTATTGCTAGAAAACAACAGTCCACCCCGGGCACATGCTGGTGGGAAGCATGTTCTAGTGCTTCCAAACAACTCTGTTACCTTGGATGGCTCAGGGTCTGCTGATGACCAGGGGATTGTGTCATATTTGTGGATTCGGGATGGTCAAAGCCCAGCAGCTGGAGTAAGTTCCTTGAAGGCTGTAACGAAATTTGGCTTTTGTTATTTGCAGAACTGCAGCAGGGAGAGCAGGTATGACCCATAAGATGCTGTCAGGTGAGGTGCCTATTTCTGGTTTGTCTCCCCTGCTCTCTGTAATGCTGTGGTTCAAGAGGCTGGTGTTATTTTCAGTGCAGCTAGAGAATATAGTAACTGAGGACTGCATCAGTGCAGAGTGATTGCTGTAGTATGAAGTCAATGTGTTTGAGAAAAAAAAAAATCTGAAATCCAGATATTCCAAAGGAGGAAGGGTCTGAGAGAAAAAGTACCAATAAAGATTAAGGAATCCTGCCTGGTAGCATATGAGGTAAAACTTAAAGTTTAAGGTAAAAATTGTGTTTGGCTTTACATGTGTGGGCACCTTCCCTGGCAGACTATGGTGATTAGCCTGGTGCATTAGGGCAGTGCATTCTGCTCTTTGATTTGGGCAGACAGCAGAAATACCTGAGGATAAACTTCAGTTACTTGTCAGCTAATAGAACTGGGTTAATTTTTTTTCCCCTATTTGCAAAAAGTGTTGTGGACAGCTCTGGTCTTGGGAAGATAGTGGTAATTCAGCAAGGACTGGGAGAGGAGAAAAAGCAAAGTCATTAAAAAAGAAACTTCTAGAAGCAGTTCATGTAAGGGTGTAAGAATTGAAGAGGTTTAGATTAAATATAACTGGCAGAGTTGATAGTTGAAAATGCATGAACTCCAGGGAGAGGAAATTAGGAGTTAAGAAAGCAGAACTAAGGATTTTGGGATAAAATTGAGAAAGAATAATGTAACTCTCTTGGATTTTCAAGAAGATGAGTTCTTCACATTGTCAGCTGTTCTCTCTTTGGGTTTTTTTAATGAAAATATCCATAGTGTGCAAACATCCTCATTAACTGTCGCTTCCAAATTTCATTACTCTGCTATAAACTGTGGGTAGGTCACATTTGTCCTAAAAGTCAAAGCAAGAACACAGCATCATACCATATAGCTGACTTGATAATGAAACCTGCATCTTTCCCTGAGGGTGTAACTATTCTGGACCTTGTTTTTGCAGGATGTGATCCACGGCTCAGACCACGAGGCAGTACTGCAGCTAACTAACCTTGTGGAAGGAACCTATATTTTCCACTTGAAAGTGACAGATGCTAAGGGAGACTCAGATGTTGATTCAGCAACTGTTGAAGTGCGGCCTGGTATGACAATTAAAAGGTCATCGACATGTTGTGAATACCACATCTTTGTTCTCCTTTTCACTTATTTATCCAGATGTTGATGAGAATCTCTCAAGTTAAAACACAGAGGAAACAGATCTCTCTCTTTCTGCCTTCTTACTGTTCTGTGATTAGGCCCAAGTGTGTTAAAAGGTGACATCAGGGTTCTTAGCTACTACAGTTGCTGTAGTTGGGATCATAAATAAATAAAAATTATACTTACTACTTAATATTTTCATTAGGCTTTTGTTGCTTCTCATTCATTTTAGGGTTTTTGTTTCTTTTTCTGGTTGTTAATCAGTTTGGCCAATAGAAAGAGATGGGAGCTGACCATCAAATTTAAGTACAAATGCTGCTGTTTGATGGTCAAAAGTGTGGCTTCATTTGTTTTCCTTCTTTCATCCTGAAAGACCAAAAAAATCCTAAAAGAATTTCAGGGGGTTTTAAGTGCAGATGAAATAGGTAAATGATGGAAGTTGAAGTCTCAGGAAAAAAGTCTGAAATCTTGGGTCTGTCAACCCCTGATTTTATTTCTGTTCCTCAGTTTACTGTTGAATGTAGTCATAGTAATTGGATTATGAGTCTCATGGGATATCTGTGAAGTTTGTTTTGTTCGCAAGACACTCTAGAAGTTCAAGCACCATATAAGAGAAACCTCAGTTTGTAAGGGTAGTCAGGGTAAACATACCTGTTATTTCTCAAATTTACCATCCTCATTTAGACTTGCTCACAGTCTTGCATGCTACAGTACAAGTCCATCTTTGGCTCCCTTTTCCTGGGTGGTATTCAGTAGTTGATAACTAGCAGGGAACTTGGTAATTGGACTCACCTAGTGCTTATCTCTGACTTTAAGATGGCAGCATTTAGGGGAGCAGAAGTTGGTCTTCTGCACAGAAATGTGTAAATGCTGAAAGTACACCCTGAAGTACTTTATTTCTGTTCATAAGGTGGGTTACTATCTTAGGACCCACCAGGTTTGTTTCATAGCGAATGTGACAAAATAAGCTGAATACTTCTCTAACACAAAAGAGTTGGCTTATCAGTGGTATGGATCTTGTGCAGAAAACTGTAGTATTAATGAATACTTTCAAGTTCTGCATATTGGTACTGAAATATCTGCCAGGTTCTGAAGGAATAACATGTTCTTCTTCTGTCAGATCCCAAAAGGAGTGGTCTGGTGGAGCTGATCCTGCAGGTTGGAGTGGGACAGCTAAGTGAGCAGCAAAAGGACACTCTGGTGAGACAGTTGGCTGTACTGCTGAATGTTTTGGATTCAGATATCAAAGTTCAGAAGATACAAGCTTACTCAGATATAAGGTACAAATATGTCTTTCTGTGCCAGAAAGACTTGTGGTTTCTTTGCTTGTCTCACAGCTCATAATTGGTTGCAAAATAATATTTCCTAAGATGTCAAAAAATGCTATACTTCTCAACAGAATATACTTTAAAAGGTGAATTTCTTCCATGGTAGAAAATTGATGAAGTAAACTCTATGGAGGCTCAGAACTGAAGTTTTTTTTTTAAAAAAAGAAATCCCATTATTTCTGTACAGATATTTTTATTTTTCCTTTAAAGGAAGTGCATGCATATATATTTCAGTGTCTTTGTTCCATTCAGTGCTGTTATTTTTTTCCAAATGCTGGATGGAGCAAGATAAACAGACTTTCTCACAGTGAAGCAAGTATTGTATTTCAAATTAAGGTCCCAGCTCTATTTAATCAAACCTATTTTATTTCCCCTCTTTCTTCTACTTCTTCTCTGTGGTTTTGATATTCTTAATATTTCATAAACATTTTCCCAGGTAACTTGTGATGAAAATCCATTTTTTGCACAGAAAGCTCCACAGTGGATTCTCTCAAATGTAGTATTTTACTGTAAAGGAGAAATACTCCCTCTGCTTGATGTAGAGTCCTAGAGATGGCTGTATGTACCCAGAGAAATTTCTCACCATGATTGGTAGAACCTGTTTACATGAGTTAGCTTTAAATTATTTCTTGTCAACTACTTGGTAATTTAAAACCTATTTTGGTGTTTAGCTCTCTGGGTACCTCTTAAAATTTAAAAATATAGTGTGGAAAGTCTACTATTTATAGTTATGATATTTTTAATCACAGCTTTTCAAATTAAAATGTTCCCTAAAGTGTCTGATACAGGGTGAGATCAACACCACCCAACTTAAAAGTTGTGGATGACAGGGCAGAAGAGCTTCCACATGAAGTTCTCTGTATCCCTTGCTTCTGAGCTTTTTCTCCTATTAAATTCAGTTTCCTAAAGTTAGTGAAACTGCTTCAGAGTGTTTTGGGACAGGCTCTATATGAGAGTGGAGGAAGCAAATGTATACATACTTCTTAAAGCAAAAATCATGTTATCCTCTTCTGTCTTCTGTGAAACTGAGAATCCCTAGAACTGCTGACGCTCCCAGTTCAGAATGAAGATCAGTTGATTGCTCCACAGACAGTTCGCTAATCTTTATCAGTGGTGACACTGGCTTTCTAGAAGCAAAAAAGACTAAACTTTATACATTATTGCTGAATGCCTGGCAAAAATAATCTGTGACAATGGTCCTGACCTTAGCTTTTCTTTCTGCAGCACCGCAGTTGTGTTCTATGTACAGAACGGGCATCCTTCCACAGTGATCAAGGCATCAGATGTCTCACGGACTCTGCATGTGCAGCTTTTGAAACAGAAGGCTGACTTCTTGCTTTTTAAAGTCCTGCGAGTTGACACGGCTGGTATGTTTTGGATTGTGCTTGCTCATCTCAGAACTTTGCAGACATTTGGCTAACACAGCACCTGAAAACACTGCATGAAGTCTTTCTGTCTGCCATCTGGTGTCTGGGCTTGGTGGGTGTAGCTTTACAAAAGATGATGTTGGAGACAATACTTAAAATGCTTCACGATTTGTGATAGGTAGAATGCTGCCAGTCACTCTTAAAAGGCATCATCTGTGTCAGCAGGCAAAAGCACATCTTAATCTGGTCTGCATTGGGAGCCTGTGGAATGAGGATAAAGATACTTTACATACTACCTTTTCTTAGCAGATGTGTGAAACTTACTATAGCCATAAAGTAGATATGTTTCATATCTCTGCTTCCTTCGGGGCTTTTAGAGTTCAGTAAATAGGCTTGTAATCTAACTTGTTCTTGTCTGCCTGTATCAGGCAAGATGGGTGACTGCTGTGTTACCCATTAGTCTTCTAATCTTTGCAATGTGCACAGGCCATTGGGATTTCCTATAATGAACTCTTTCTTTTGCTCAAAAAGATGCTTGAACTTCTAAGCTTATTTTAAGCTTCACTAGCAGCGCCTACCCTTTATAAGCCTTAGGTACTTCAGACAGGACTTCTCCAAAATTTAAAATCAGGACACAGTAATTCAAGTACAAACAAAATAAGCAAGCCCTGGTGATAAAATAGTCACTGATTGTGTAGTAAATTCTGTCTTTATATACTGGTTGAAAAGGTTGTTGTTCTTTTATAAATATAATCTGATTACATTGTTTCTCCTCTTAGCCAGCCGTCTGCTAGACCATAGATCTATTTGACACATAACCCCAATGGAAAGGGAGTTTCAAAACATATCATAGTGTTATGAGGCAGATGCTTTGCCACCAGTCTAGTCTAAAATTAAGAGGATGTATGACAAGTTGTTCATTTACACAACTGACCCAGTGTTTGGTTCTGTTCTTAGCCTGTCTTTTGAAATGCTCTGGACATGGGCACTGTGACCCCATAACAAAGCGCTGCATTTGCTACCAGCTGTGGATGGAAAACTTGATTCATCGTTACCTAAATGATGGAGAGAGTAATTGTGGTGAGTTTGGGTGCTGTGTCTTTCAAGAGTAACTTGCTGTCATGTGAGACTTTTGATTATTTGTTCTCAGAATGGGGAACACTTGAGAGGTAGATGCTGAGGGAAGACCAAAACAGTCTCTGTTTTCCAGCCCAACAATATCTTTCTATAGAAAGATATTTGAATAATTTCTTGAAATGATGTCTTGACAGTAGTAGCCTAAATTTTAAAGAAAATCACTAACTGATGAAAAAAATGTGAGAACGTGGTCATGGGAAGGGAGATTTTGCAGCAATTTGGGGCCAGTTGGAGGGGTTGTACAAAAACATGGGCTTTGCAAAACTTTTGAGTAGGACTACTGCAAAGTTGGAAAAGAGACATCAATTTCAATTTCTCTGAGTGGGTGATTGATGCTTCAATGCCAGAAGTATGATCTGATCTAAGCAAAGAAAACATCAGTGACCAATACTGACCTTTAGAACCTAATAACACTGATAACTGTGAGCATACATGTATTGGAGTTCAAATTATTGCACATCTCTCTGTATCCTTTCCTGTTTTCCTGGATTTACACATGTGAATGTGCAGGTAGAAGGTTCTACGTCTAATCAGCTCCTCTTTTGAAGCACTACTAAAGTGCCAGATCCAGAGTACCTCTGTTTCAGTTAGGGAATTATAAGTGAGGTGGTAACCATGACCCTTTGCAGGACTGTCAGTTCCCACATAGGCTTTCAGATATCTTGGGATGGTAAAAGGTATTTGAAAGGAAGAAAAATTTCTAATGTGCACTTCTAATCTTAAAGCTGAAAGATTTTTAGGAATTCATCTAAGAATATGTTCGTGCTTAGTTTTCCTACATTCTTGTTGCCACTCCCCATTCCTCAGGACTGGTTATTTTAATAGAGTTGTATTAAAAATTGTTTTATTCATGTGACCTTACAAAGCACTGTTGTATTTCTTTTTTCAGAGTGGAGTATACTCTATGTGACTGTATCTGTTTTTATTTTGATTGTGGTCATGGTAGGGCTTGCTTGGTTCTGCATCTGCTGCTGTAAAAGGTACATGATTTGTGTTTCTTTTTGATGGGATATACACAAAAATTGCACACAACCACCATGTTTAGTTGAGTCCATAGCACTAAACTACTGAGCTCATTTTGGACATGAGAGTGTACTGCAGATCTTCATTCTCTTACTGAGTCCTACAAGTACTCCATGCTAAGAAAAAAAAGGCACACCCTGAAGGTCACTGATGTAGGAATGTTCTAGGCCATGGGAAAGGAATCTACTTCCAGTCTGATTTCGCCCTTGGACAGGAAGTGTGGGTAGCTAGACTGCATGTGGCTTATAGGTAAGGAGTACTCTAGTGATTTCAGTCATGCAGACTTCTTGCCTTCTCTTTCCTTAAACAGGAGCATTCATACTACTGAATGTTGTTTCCTTTCCTGCCTCCCCTCCAGTCTTCCCTAGTGAGCTGATAAGAAATTCTCTTTCAAGTGACAAGCCCTACAAGTTCTGTCACTAGAGCAAGTGTTTTTGCTGAAGCTCAAACAGCTCAGCAAATAGATAGCTTGTTCAGGTGTTAGCAAAAATAAAATGCCATCAAAATCTTTCTGAATTTTCATCTTTTCCTAGGGTGTCTTTGCAGTATGTAAAGGATGTGTAGGTGTCAATGCCAATTTTATTTTTAAGCTTGAAGGAACAGTGCTGTTAATAGAAAACTTTAAATAGTAAAGTGTGTCCCATTCCACTCCCACAGTGTGGGATGGAGCCTCAGAGGCTTGTGTGTGTTGGATGATTATTTGAGGGATTTTTTATGAGTTCAGCTGCTTCTGTCCTTTGTCCTCATATGGCTTGTGCCTGAGAATGAGGACTGGTTGCTACAGGTCCATGTGAAAAAGAGGAGGGAATTACAGCACAGAGAGAGATTTCCTTTGCCTTGTGGAAACTACATGAAAAAGACAGTGTAGACTTAATATTTGGCTGGAGATTTGGAGGTTTTAAAAACTTTGAGTTGCCAGATGAATTCTACAAAGATCATGGAGGGGAGGCCAAGGCTGGCTGTTGCTGTAATGCTGGCTGAACAGTAAGGTAGCTTCTCCAACGTGAACTGTGGGGGCACATGAATATTCATCTACTGTGTTTGTAGTTACTATGTTGAAATTGAGCAAACTGTGTCTTAGGAGAGCAAATCAATCTGCCTTGCTTTCTTCATCTTTCTGTATCAGTGAAAATTAACTATACTGTCTTGTCCATATTGTACTGCCTTATTAAGGTATAAACTGGTAATATTTTTAGGTGGAGGTGACAATGACATTCTGTGTATTGGGGTATGTATATGGAAAGGAAGGGGGGAAGATTTATGTGGGTACATGAGAATTAAATGTCTTTTTGGTAACTATCTTTTAGCAGGAAGAGAACAAAGATTAGAAAGAAAACAAAATATACCATCCTAGATAACATAGATGAACAGGAGAGAATGGAGCTACGGCCCAAATACGGTACGTGCTATATGGCATCCTGGGAACTCACCCACCAAGTGTGCAGCCAGTGTGTCTGAATTGATACCTGTAGGCAGGAGGAGCCCAGAAGCAGGCCTACAAGTTTGGGAATGGCAGAGATAGACAGTGAAGTGGTTGGGCGAGAATCAGTTAATTTCTTTAATAAAGCCGTGAGCTCAGCCTCTGCTCTGAGTTTATCTTAATTTATCTTAATTTAGAACATTTAATTGCCCCACAGATTTTCACCATGTAAGCCTTCCTTCTCTGCACATGCTTTAATTTGGAGCTGTTTCTGTTGCTGCACAGCAGTTCCCTCCTGACCCATCAGTGCCCTGTTAGACATCAGTAGATTTCAGCAGTTGTTCACGTATCTTTTAATTTACCTGACTTTCAGTTTTTAGCAGGGGAAATGTTTGAATCCAAGGAAATAAAGTCATTCTGAGAAATTGCTCTCCTAGAAAGAGAGATAATGTTTGTGTAGAAACCATGACCCTTCATTGCCACTCATGTTAATAAGGTCATTGAGTGGACAGACTGATTTCCAGATTCAAGATATTGAAAATACATTGGGTGTGTACTAAGATAATCTAGTTGTTTACATTTAAATTTAAATACATATATTCACATTTCAGAGCCATAAACTGATGGGCCTGCAATGAAGTTATAAGAGTATCTGAAATGGTATATGATACTTCTTAAGCCAGTTTTTGTATTGGTGTATGCTGTTTTTATGCATTGCACTGCAGAGAATGTTTTCACTTACCCTTCATATCACAGCAGGAGAGAAGATGGTTATATGTTACTAAAAACCCAAGCCTTTCTAATGAGTTTGTTTTTATTTTTTATTGTCAGGTATAAAACACAGAAGTACAGAACACAACTCCAGTCTGATGGTCTCTGAGTCAGAGTTTGACAGTGATCAGGACACTATCTTCAGCAGAGAAAAGATTGAAAGAGAGAATTCTAGAACACTTATAAATGGGTCCCTCAGAAATGGAGTTTCGTTCAACTACAGCTCCAAAGACAGATAACTGAATGAGGGTAAAAGCACAGAACACACTGGTGAGACACATCTGAAATATGTTGGCCCACCTTTGTTTTTCCAGAACCAAAATCATCCTCAAATATCAACTAATTGCAGATTAAAGAATAAATTTTTAGCACAGATAGGGGAAGGAAGAAGGAGGGAGAAAGGGTGGATGGTCAGCTAACTCCTATTGTCACCATTATAGGAATAAGAAAAAGCACCTCTTCTTTCTTGCATGTTCTGTGCTGAATGTTTGAACTTCAGAAGGCCTTTTTTTCTATATCACTGCTACAAGAGTAGCCAGAGCTGTTCTGCTACAAGCTCTGGTAACTAACAATGGCTTACAGATTCATGTGTGCTCCTAATGCTCTCTTTGAGAAGTGGTATGATTTGCAACAGAAAAAGCCAATATAGATGAAGTTCCTTACAACTATAGAGAGCAATATGTTGCCACAGGCTCCATCTTAATTTTCAGTTTAGGATGGAAACACAAAGAGCATTTTTAGTGTGTTGTCTTTATCCAACTGTACTTTGTGACTTCCTTTTCTAGGGTAGTGTTCGTTGGGTGAAAACATTCTTGTTTTCAGAGAAAGTTAACAACTAGAGCAGTTGCACTGGATCAGCTGTAATGTAACATGGTATATCTGAGTCCTGTAGGATGCAACGTTCCCTGTACTCACATAGGAGGTGTGGTGTCTGCTGGGAAATCCAGCCTTAGGTTGCTTCTGTAATGATCAAGTTGCTCTGGCTCTGCCATGTCCATCCAGGAAACTGTAGCAGGAAGGACTTGGTGCAGTGAGCCTTGAGAAGCATTTTGAGCATCCCAAACAACCTTTTTAGATCACTTTGTGGAGTTCTGGACCTTTTAAGACTGAATGCTCAGCTGAGGTGAGTTTTCATCTGTCAGCATCAAGTGCTCAATTAAAGAATGTGCTGGGCTCTTGTGCTGTGAAATGTTTGTGGCAAATACCCTGCGTGGAGCAGGAGGTTCATTGTACTTTCATTGTCGTGGTAATTGGTACTGAGCAATGTTTTAGATTGAACATTAGATTGTTTGACTTTTTCCTCTCTTGCTGTTGTGTGACTGGATGTGTTGGCCTAAAGAGATCCTTTTAGGTCTTTGGCAAGGGTAGGTGTATTGCAGTTCTGACATTGTAGTTCACAATCTGGGTCATTTCTTCACAGTCTGCTTGTTAGACTTTGAAATCATGGCCCCAAACCTGCCTTTGAAATCCACAACTGAAGACCTGACTTTTATACACAGGCCTCACTTGTGGGGGCATGCGTGTTGGTGTTACTGTTTAGCCATGACCAGCTATTCCTGAGGGTCCTCTACTGATATACTGGTCTAGGGCTGAGATGGAGGCATGATGTGTTTTGATGGAGAAAACCTTCCTCTGGGAGCATTTTTGAAGATTTTTTTTTTTAATATTTTGGGATTTTATTTTGGTTTTGTTCAGATTTTTTTAATCCAGTGGTAGAGAACCCATTATCAGAGGATGAAACAGTATAGGAAGCAGTTTAGAAGGGTTGGGGAAGAGACAAGCCCATTTCCATCATGAGGAATAATGTAGAGAATTTTGGGGCTTTCTCTGTCCTCTGTCGTTTCTTAGAAGTCTGACACAATAGAGTAGCTGGGTTGAACATTTTAGCTTCTGTGCTTCTCTTATTAATGGACTTGGGCAACAGTCAGAACTGTCTAGGCTGCAAGAAATCAGTGGTCAAAAGTAGCAGCAACATAGCATGCTCATAACTTGTTTCATACTTTTGATTCTCAAGTGCAGTCATCAACAGTCCCTAAGGCTACTAATTCAGCACTAAGGAGTAATTACCCTGTGTGAGCAGCCCTGCATTTTTCTGGAGAAATTTGTGTGGCTGCAGGAGTCATTGTGGTGGGAGAGGCTGGGAAGAGCTAAAAAGGGCTAATACAGGTGTTGTCTATGTTTTTCCCATATTATCAGCAAAGTGCAGTATGAATGGTATGATTTGCTTTCTTCAGAAACCAAGTTTCAACTCTGTGTATGGGGGGTGTAGGCTATTTCTTGAAACCTAATTTATCACACTCTCCCTTGTCTTGAGAGTGTGCATGTGTGTATATATATATATATATATATATATTTTTAAATAACTTGGTCAACAAAAGCAAGGTCAGCTTCTGATGTCTTTCAATTCCTGCTCCAGATGTGTTAACATAATAAAAGCAGTGTTCACTTTAAAGCATTCCTGAAAAAAGTTAAAGCCCACTCAAAATAGTAATTTATTTCTTTCCTTTGTAATCCAGACACTGGGCTTAATCCATTATGAACAACTACACAGAATGTTCTAGCAGGAATTATTCTCTTGAAACGTGCATTTTTAAACAAGCAAATAAGTTGTTTAAATAATTTTGAGTTTGTATGTGCTGTGCTGCCATTGATGCTTCTGCTAAATACTGTCTCCAGTGTGCCTTTATCTATAAGCTTACCTTCTAGGACATGTCAGTGCAGTCAGCAGCATCTGTTGGTTTTGTGACATTAGTGAATTATGTCTTTTGGGTTTATTATTTAGGTTTTTAAAGCCGGTGCTGAAACCTAGGATGTTCTTCTTTGAAAGTATTGAAATATCCTTGTTTAAAAAACAAACAAACAACAACCCCACCAAAATGAAAAACTGTTTCTCTAGTAAAACAAGTCCAGGAATCATAAACCTGCATTCCTTAATGTTGCAGAATTTCCAGGACTATTCCCTTGCCCACAGACATACACATGGTGGGCCCAGATCTTTGGATCCCTGGTAAGTTCATGGGCCATGAGAACGTATGCATGATTTGGCTGTTTCTCACTTTAACAAATAAGAAATACTAGACCAATTTCTCATTGTATAAGGCCCCGGCAAGTAGAAGTTGCTTGGTAAATTCAGTTACCTAGATGATACTTTGACATCTTTGTTGCTAACGTATTTTAGCTATGTTTTTAAAGTTTAATATAGTTAAAATTTTCCAGCTGCTTTTGATTCTACTAGTTTGATTATTCCACCTGCTTGGAAGGAGAAGTTATTCCTCTTACCATAACAGCAGGCTTGCTTTTAATATATGGCACTTGTGCAGAAGCTGAAAGCAATAATTTCTGGCTCTGTGAATTTCAGTATCATGTTTGTGTCACTTGGCCAAGCATATTTGCATCAGGAATTTAGGAGAGACTATAGCAAGCCTTGTATCTTGATTCAGTATAATTGTCACTTCTAGAACTACTGCTTTCTTGCAGAATGTCAGTTCATACCATGAATGAAAGGGTCAGAAAACTGGCTGTAACGATGCAAACACAATGGCAGAATTTGGATTCTAACGGTTTGGTTTAGGTTATTATAGGTTCCAAGCACGTTCGCAGTCCTCACGTTTACTTCTGCACACTGTTTTCCTTCACATACAGAAAGAGTACCGGCAGCTGATTTGTAAAGCAGGGATGGGGCTATTCCCAAAAGACTAATCTGCACTGAAAAGCAGAGGAGACCAGATAGAGCTTGTCCTGTGTGGCTCAGTCTACTGAAAATAAGGAATAATTCAGTTTGGATCTGCTAAGATACTGCCTCTTGTTGAAGGCAGACAGTGTGGTGATACTTGCAGTGCCTCATTGCCTTGAAGTGTAAGGAATGGATTTTCATTTGCATCTTGGTTTTACATGCACAAGCAGGGATTGTACAGCTGTGTAAAAGGACTGCTTTTGTTTGCATTTTAAGGAAGAAGGGTATTTTGGAAAAAAACTTCCTAGGCATTAAACAGGTTCAGTACCCAGTTGTAGTATTTAATGCAGTACATACGCAGCATGAAACTTCCATGGCTGTGAACAGGTAATTGTCTTGTGGATTTTATTTTCCTAACCAAAGTCATAGTGCAATGTGGCAAAAAATTTACCTTGTCAAATCTGTTGAGGTCCACATCCAAATTCTCTGTCCTATGGTTCAACCTGTCATATTAGGTAAAGGAAATAAAGCAAAATGCAAAATGTCTAATTACAGATAATTGTTTATTTGCATAGCGGAAAGAAGGTTATTCTTGGTTTGTGTGTAAGAATAGATTATCAGCTCTGACCTTTTAGTAAACAGTCTTACTCTCCCTGTGTCAGATGCATCAGATAAAAGTACTGTTCAAGCATCTTGTTCTGTGCTGTCAGCTGTTTGATTATATGATGTCAATTTTCCTTCCCTTGGTATCCTGTGGGCAAACAGAAGTGCACACACGTGCAAGAAACTTAACGTTAGAGAGTGAATGCATGTGTGTGTTCTTTGTGCTGGTGCTCTTTCCTCAGATATTCTGATGTTCTTGAAGTAACTGAGTTCCTAGGCAAATGTTCTATTCCTGCTTTTAACCTCAAGTGAAACTCATTTTGCCCCTCAGTATACCTGTAATGGGCAGCAGTCAGGTGCAGCTTCAGGATGGTAGTAATAAAATAACAGTAAGTATAGTCCTCTGACATTTAGGTGAAGTTTGAGAGAGGAAAACTTTCTTCCAGGAAAAGGGAAATGGGATAGAGGTGAATTGGTTTCTTAATGTCAGTTATTTGGATCCCTAACTTGAATACTAATCCCATACTTCTGCAGCAAAGAAAAAAACATTTAATGTACCTTTTATATCCTTAACTGCCCAAGGCAAAGGAGGAAAATATAAAGTTTAGAAATAAAATTTTAAGAAGGAGGAAACAAAGGCAAATGATTTTTGCACAGGCTATGAATCAGGTGCAGATGAGCTGCACATCTGTATTTTGTCTCTGTATGAAAGCACTTCTCCCTGTGGGTGGATGGGTGAGCTATTATAGAATTTATATTAGGAATCTGTTTCTAGAAAATGTTATTTATTGCAAATGCTATTGTATTGTAACTGGAACCATTTCTGAGCTGAAATTACTACATTTATGTAACTATTAATAAAGTTTTGTCTTTCCTTTTAGAAACTTGTCAGGTACTCTTTTAAGCATGGTATTCTATATTGGATACAACAATCAGGCCAGGCTAATAGACATGTTGTCTCCC